CTCACCGTGTTCCGGCCACACTGGGTTTGCCCCGCTCACGGGTGTCTGTGCTTTCGCCGTCTACACTGCTCAGGCTCCCGGCTGCTCTATATGGAGCGGGCCCTGCGTTGAGTGCGGTTCCAGTTTTCGGGTACTACACAAAAGCGCAAATTCGCTTGCGCCTGCGTTTTGTGCCTTCCCCGGCCTGAGCGGTTCAGGCAGCCAGGGGGTTGGGCGTACTCTCCCCGGGTGCAGCGCTTGCTCCTTTTCCCTCCGCGTCTAGCGGCCCAGGCAGCCAGAGGCTTGGGCACACTCTCCCTGGGTACGGCGCGCTTTTTCCCTCCGCGGCCCCAGCGCGCGCCGCCAGTCGGGTCTCAGGAAGTCTTTAGATAGGAACCGGGGGCCTGTTTGCAGTGTGGGAGGGGGTGGCTTCTCAGGGGCTGAGTTTGCCCTTTCCCCCTCCCCCCTGCCTCCTACCTCCAGCGGGGATGGGCCGGCTCTTCTCTGGAGTTTCTCAGTCCCTTTGTTTTGCGAACTGCAGGCAGTGTGTTTGGGCCGGTTAATTTTGTCCCTTGCTATCCCACAGTTTAAAAAAAGCTCCCTCTGGTTGGTCTTCGGCCGGTCCTTACCCTAAGCAATGCCGCCCGCTCCTCTCCGTTCCGCCCCCGCTTGTTGCTGGCGGGTTATGGCGTCTGGGGTACTTTTCTGCTGGGAGTTGCTTTTAGGCACGTAATCTGTGGGCCTTATTTAATTTTTCCTCCCAGTTAGATTGCCGAAAACTTCCCCCAGTCCCGCCAGTGCGAGGGTTTCCTGGTGATTGGAAACTTCCTCTATTAAGACTCCCTTCCCGGGACGGGTCTCCATCCGTAGCTCTTTTGTCTCCCTTTTTATCTTTTATATTTTGTCCTACCTCCCTTTGAAGACAATGGGCTGCTTTTCTGGGCGCCTGATGTCCTCTGCTAGCGATCAGAAGTTGTTTTGTGAAATTTGCTCAGCGTTCAAATGTTCTTTTTTTTTTTTTTCCGTTTATTTTTATTAGTTGGAGGCTAATTACTTTACATCATTACAGTAGTTTTTGTCATACATTGAAATGAATTAGCCATGGATTTACCTGTATTCCCCATCCCAGTCCCCCCTCCCACCTCCCTCTCCACCCGATCCCTCTGGGTCTTCCCAGTGCACCAGGCCCGAGCACTTGTCTCATGTATCCAACCTGGGCTGGTGTTCTTTCGATGAATTTGTAGGGGAGAAAGTGGTCTCCCCGTCCTATTCCTCCGCCATCTTCCCTGGTATGCTTTTATTATCAGAATGTAATTCTGTCTTATGCTTTTTTTCCCCTTATAATTTCATGTGATTGATTTACATCATTTTCTGTTGCTTCCTTTTTTGTGGTTTAGGGTGGCATTTCTTTTTTTTTGTTTCATTTATTTTTATTAGTTGGAGGCTAATTACTTTACGGTATTGTAGTGGTTTTTGCCATACATTGACATGAATTAGCCATAGATTTACATGTATTCCCCATCCCAATCCCCCCCCCCCCCCCTCCCTCCCCATCCCATCCCTCTGGGTCTTCCCAGAGCACCAGCCCTGAGCACTTGTCTCATGCATCCAACCTGGGCTGATGATCTCTTTTACCCTTGATAGTGTTCTCTGCTGTGGTACATATACACTATAGAATATTACTCAGCCATTAAAAAGGATTCATTTGAATCAGTTCTAATGAGATGGATGAAACTGGAGCCCATTATAAAGAGTGAAGTAAGTCAGAAAGATAAAGACCAATACAGTATACTAACGCATATATATGGAATTTAAAAAGATGGTAACGATAACCCTATATGCAAAACAGAAAAAGAGACACAGATGTACAGAACAGACTTTTGGACTTTGTGGGAGAAGGCGAGGGTGGGATGTTCTGAGAGAATAGGGTGGCATTTCTTACAGAGCTCCCTCTGCTGTTGTTTTTGGGAACTCTTCAGAAGTGTGGCATTTGCTTTCTAAGATTTCTAAGGCTTTGCTCTCTTCCCCACTATTCTCATTTCTTTATATTCATTATATTCAATGCACTCAATTTTGATTCCATGCTCAGTAGTTTATGCTCATTGTGACGCTGTTAGTGAGAGGTCAGTTTAAAGAGTCCATAGAGGCTAACTGCCCCAACCTCAGACTTCAGGTAGATGCAGAAATCCTTCCAGTTAGAGCTGGTTGGGGAGTCTCTCTTCTCAGATGGGTCAGACACTGTGTTTCCTTCTTCTGCTTCTCATACAGTGCAGCTTCTGTTGGCGATTTGTTCCCATGTACTATTTTAGGGAAATTTATGGAGATTCCTTGTCACTCGGTTTTGTTGTAAATGTGGGTTTGGGTGTTTAGGGATGCTCAGAAACATTGCCACTGGTTCCATTGTCCCTGAATCTTTCTAATCTATCATTCTTTAATTTCTGTTTATGGTGTTTCCTGTTTCTAATTTGATAAAATCTTGTCTTAATTAGATTATAAATTCCTCTAAATAGTGCTTGAATCTTAGTTGAAGTGTTGTTTTATATTAAAAATAACCTTTACAGCATAGCCCTGGACATATATGCAATATGTCATATCAGTCATCAATTGGAAATTTGTCAGTCTAGTGTAATTATAGGCTAATTTGCAACCTTGTAATGGTAGGATTAATAGTTACTCTTACAGATTGAAGGGAAACAGAGATGTCCGCTGGCCTACCTGTCCATGAGGTTCATTCATATGTCCTCTTAGGCATATATGCTCTAGTCTGGTCTAAACATTCCTGCAAGACATTGATCTAATGTACTAATATTTCCAAAAAGTCCACAAAATAATAAGCATCATAGAAACATATAGTAACATAGAAAATGTTATCTGACAGAGTGATAGCTCATTACTGTCACAGTCCCTGAATATTGTAAAAGAAATTTAGAAACTCTTCAGTGAAGCAGTTAAAATGGTCAAGTTAATATAAGATTCTTTTAAAAGACTAATCCCAAACAAAGAGAAACTGAAGATTGACCAATTTGTTTATATGAAGAGGCAAAGGGGTGAGGATGAGATATGATAGAATTTGATAAGATTGTGATGGGAATTAAGGAACACAAATAATACTTTTAGTTAAAGGAAGCTATTAGTTTTTATTGGGAAGTAATTCTAAGGCCCTTTTTATCCTAATAACATCTCACTTCTTTTGCTTCTGAATCTGATAATCTAAAAAATCAGCTAAGAAGTCAGTTCCCAAAACACAACAGAACCTGATTTGATAAAACATTCTAAACTATATTGTTATGATGTTGGTGTTGTTTTTTTTTTAATGTTTCTTATTTTTACTTCATTTGTCTTCCTTATTTAAAGGAATTATATTTTTAATTATAAAGATAGATTATTTACTTTGTAATATGTTCCATTTAAAATTACTTCTAATTTTTACCTTTAAAACATCTTTCACAGGCCTCAACAAATAATGAAAGCTCTAATCACAGTTTTGGAAGCTTGGGATCTTTAAGTGACAAAGAATCAGAGGTAAGTAACTTTATTTTTAAAATGTCGCTATTAAAGGAAAAATTGGAATCACCTTTTTTAAAACTAATTTTTTTCCTTCTTTAATACTTGTGCTAAATGTTAATCTTTGTTTTTTGTAGGAGCATTTTATTCTGGTTTAGAAGCATAGCATTAGACTGAAGACTATTTGACATTAGAAAGAAAATATAATTTCTTTGGCTATGTAGATGAACGTTTATATTAATGGTATAGATGTTCTTAAGTTGCTAGACATTCTAAGAGATGAACATGATTTTTGTAATATGTTGTTTTTTCACCGTTTTCTACTATTTCTTGTTATACTTCCTTCTTAGTTTGGTCCTGAGTAAAGGTTTGTTTACTTTTTGAGATATAGATACACATTTTTTTGTTTTCTTTTTGAAATTTCTTGTGGGATTTCATGCTGTTGGTTTTCACTTTACATGCTTAAAAATATCTGAAAAATTCCTTCCTTTCCTACCCACTTACTCTTCCCATTAAGAAAATACATGGAATTTTATAAGTAGGTATTTGGATCCATGGTATAGTTCACGTTGAGCATGATGTTCTTGATGGCATTTAAAAAAATATTTAGACAGGAGGTTCTTTGGGTATTAGCATTCATTTGTTGATCCTGCAACTTCACTTTTTGCAAATAAAAGTCTGTAATACTTCCTCTTCTCAGATTACAGAGTTCTGTCACTTACTTTTCAACATTTGTGCGTGTGTGTATGTATATTTCCCCTGTCAGTGTTAACTTATTTCTGTTTGATCCATTTTTAGTCTTTTTTCTGCTTGGTTTAGTGTAGATTTATCACCATGATAATAATACCAATAGGTCATTAGCACCCAGTTACTCTTAGCCATTTAGTTTGGTGTTCAGTGGAAGGAGAATATTAACAGCGGCATCTTTTTAAGCCCTGTTTTATTGAAAGCATCTAGGAGTCTCTAGGTAGACAGTTCTGTGGAGTTCTGTGCAGGCACCCTGACACTCCAAAGGAGTGTGGCATAGGGCTCTCACTCATCAGGCTTTCCCTTCCACAGAGACAACTGGCAGGCAGCTGAAAGGACTGTGCAAGTGACGGGACTTTATCTGCAGTAGGTTCCCTTGAGGTAAGCGTTAGTAGCCCCTGTAGCACCAGATTATCACAGTTTAGTTGTTTTTTTTTTTTTTTCCCCAAATTAATACACACTGAGTCCTGAAAAATTGTAGGTTTAGATCAAATGTACTTGTCAAAGTACATTTTTTCAAAAACCATATCAAGAATGTTTTCTTGAATTTTGGAACATTTCTTGATATTTCCACAGGTTTGGGTCTCTGTAGTAATTTCACATGCCTCCTTTTTCATAGAGTTTTATGTTTAGGTATTTCTCTTTTATGTTCACTAGACCTGATGTTTTTGATAGATTTTTTTTTTAATAGAAAAACAGGAAAAGTTAGATCACCTATAGTGGTTATATAGTTCTGCCTTCTTTTTGGGTACCCATATTCCCAATATAAGCTGTAGATGCAATATTTGAATTCTTCCAAAAGAATCAGTTTGAAAGAAAATAACCACCTCCTGTCAAAGAATTCTAAGGCTCACTTTTGGCTGTATTTTTACGTTATAAAAGTTTTTTTAAGACCTTAATAGTATTTGCACTGAAATACAATTTGGGTAACTGTTGGATGTACTTGGCTTTCTTTTGACATTTGGGGTCACAGTAGAAAATTTTCAAAATCTTTTGACTTTTGCTGTTTTGTGTTCAGCATCTGGAATTTTTACAAAATAATGATTAAGTGGCATAATATTTTGGAAATGACTACAGATTATATGTTTTCCTTAAAATTTGAAGAAGGAAATTTGGGGCCAGGGGTTTGTCTTTTAAGAAGTGATTTGTCTGGAAGATTTTGCTTCACTATGAGATGACTTAATTAATGATTTCCCTTGGGGTGATACTTCATATACATCACAGTACAGATTCTCATGTAGGTCATGAAGTAAAGTTGTTGAGAGCAAAGAGCTATAGGATAGAAGTACTTCTTTTTTACCCAGTACACGTAATAGTAAAGTTTATGTAGTATTCCATTGTCTGCTGATGTCATTTTATTCTTTTGGTAATCCATCCCCTGAACCATAACATTTTTTATTTTTTAAGATAATAGTTTTTGTTTTTATAGACAACATTAGAAAGTTTATTATTAATTATTTTTAAATAGCATTCTCTACCACCCACCCTTACCTCTCCCTGATCTCCATTCTCTTAGCTTTTCTTCCTGCTATTTATTTCCACCTTATAATATAAATAATATGCATATCTTGCTTTTTTGGTTCATTGATTGAACATTTTACTTCCTTTTAGTATTTATGAAGATTTTAGCCTGCTAATAATATCCCCCTGGTTTCTAACCTCTTCCCAGTACTGTTTTTCAGACACTAAGAACCTCTTGTTTTCATCTATCCTTTTACTATTAAAAGTGAAAAACATCTGATATTCACTGTTAGGTTGATTACTTCAGCTGAAATTTTCATTGTAGTTTATATATGAATCACTTCATACATGAGCTTGCCTTTTATTTCTAAATGTAAAGTTGTAAAACAAGAAGGGTTTTCTTTTGATGAAATTGTCCAGTCTTGTACGAAAGAAATTGCATCAGTCTTGTTTTGCTTTATTTTACATCACTCTGGGGCTGTTCAGCAGTCTCCAAAAACGTATTTTCAGTAAGCATTTATTACATATCTGTTATCTTCTAACCTCTATGTCTAAAGCACAGAATATAAAAATGAGTAGGACACAGTTCTTGCTTTCACGTGAGATCAGTGTCTAGTAGGGCAAACAGTTACATAAGCAGTGTGGGCTGTGCTACAGCGGATGTAAGCACAAGGTACAGTGGGAGGAAAGAGCAAGAAACCTCTAATTCCATCTGCCTCCTGGGGAGAGGTAGGCAAAGAAGAAAGAGAGGTCTTCCCTCAAAGAAGAGATGACAGTTGAGTCCTTAGGAAAGCCTGTGGGTTCATCTCAGAGGACAAGGACAAAGAATGAGAAGAAAGCAGGCAGGGGTACTAGGATGTGCTTTCGCATGGAAGTATGGCACATGGCGGGCTGCAGTCCATGGGGTCGCAAAGAGTTGGGCATGACTGGGCGATGGAACAACAGCAGCATGGTTTTGTTCAACATGTAGGGCAGTGATTATCAATCCTAACTGTCCTTTAGCTCCTCTGAGGAGCTTGGGGAAAGAAACAAAAATGACCAAAGCAGAGGAGGCTATCTGGAGCTCCAGAAGGAGGTCAGATTAAAGATGAAGACTTAGTGGGTTTTGGCACACAATAGTGCAAAGACATTATTTGCCTTTTTTATAGTATTGCTAAAACATACTTGGCTTTTAAATTTTCATTTCCTCATGAGTTTACAGTGAAAATTTCCAAAGGCTGTAAGATTTGTGATGACATAGTTACTCTGATGATTTATTGATTGTGTACTTGTGTGTTCTGGTGTCTTTAGTTTTAACTGCTAAAATGTTAAAACGATAGTTTTATTCCACATAAACAAAGACTCTTTGAGGTCCTCAACAGTTTTTAAAAGTTTGTAGACAGGTTTGAGACCCAGAAGTTTAAAAACTGCTTTTATGGATGAACTCATCCTGATAGTGCATGTAATGCTAGGAAATGTGAGCAGGCAAGATGGGTGTGCTGGAGAAAGAGTAGGAGGAGGTAAAGGAGTGGATACGAGAGCGAGAGGAGGAGGAGAATAACGAGGAGGATTAAATGTTATGAAAGTCAACTAAGATAATGACTAAAAAGTGACTAAGAATTTGTCACTTAGGCTTAGTTCTAGTAGCCTAATGAGAGCAAGATGCCAGATAATTGTTGATTAAGGAGCAGTTGGATTGTGAGCAAATACTGACTGCTCTTGGAAGAACCTTGACTGTGAAGAAAAGGAGGTGGTATCCAGAGTCTTAACAGACTTGACTTATTATGTGCTAGGGAGAGGATCATAGCAGACCTTCGATGGAACAGGGACAAGCAAAGTGCTGAAGAGAGAGGAGGAACTAAAGTAAACTTTTCCCAGAGGTGGTATGAAGTTCCAGACTCGGTGGACAGGACTGACTAGGAACAAGCTTTCCTCTGATCATTGATCTTCCATACCTAATAACCTTTCTCTTTCTTCAGAGTGAAAATAGAGATTATCAACTGAAGGAAAGACTCTTGAGTGGATTGTGGATGTGAGGAGAATGATAAAAAAAATTTATGGGAGAGACAAGGAAGGAGCTTACAGGGGAAAGGGGTCACTCACCTTATTTAAATGTCTTAGGATGCCTGAAGAAATTAGAGACATGGTCTGTGTGCCTTACCTACTGGCAGATTATTATTATTTCTGGCAGAAAGTACAGATTATTTTATGAGAATTAGATAAGGAGCCCATGTTTCCTTTTATCAGTGTATTTCCACCCATTTACCATTCTTCTTGCAGGATCCTTTTGTCTCCTTTTATACAACTTTTGTATAACCTGAATCATAGTTGAACAATTTAAAATAATATTATCTTTTTCTAGAACTAAAGTTTTTTTCTCCCCTTCATTCTGGGTAATTATCAGTTCTTTTACCATGTATATCCACTGGCATTGAATTACTGTTTATTTTTTGATCCAAGTGCATTTGGGGTGATATTTGATTTATTTAGGCTTAAAGATTTTTAAGTTACAGATACACAGAAGCTGGAACAGTTGTTGCATCTAAATATTTAAACTTTGGTGCACTTTCAGAATTCTAATGATTGTATCATGAAAAAGGAATATAGTATAGATACATTGCCTTGATTGTCTTCAGAGAAGTATTAACAACCTCAGATATGTAATGATACCACTGTAATGGCAGAAAGCGAAGAGGAACTAATGTTGATTAATGAAAGCCATTTTATGAAAGAAGATCTAATTAACTTTCTCATTTGAATTTAATTTCTAGAAATAGTCTTGGTATTTAAATCCAATTTTTCCCCCTCCTTATTTGAAGTTGAATTGAATT